CTATATATATATATATATATATATATATATATATATATATATATATATATATATATATATATATATATACACATACACACAGAGTATATTTATATAATTTAATTACATTTTATTAAATTACTTTTACTTACTTAATTTAATATAGCTTATTGTTATTTTTTTTTATCTCTCTGTTCCTCTTTCTTTTTTTTTTTTAGTGATGCCTACTATTGAAAAACTTCTGAATACAGACTGGAAAGAAAAGTTCCTTGGGAAGGGTCTTCATGGCAGTGTCAACCTAAAAGGTGAATTTATGTTTATATTGCACATACATGCACTTTGTCATGCAAATCACCAAATACGGCAACCATATAGTGTTGTTTCTATGTGTTCCATTGTGGATCATCTCACATTTGTGTTTCACTGACACCTTCTGCCTGACCACCAGCATGTGCGTATGTGTTTACAGGAACCCCAGAGAGTCTGGCAGAGAAGGAGCTTCAGTTGTTGTTGATGATAAACCAGCTCTCTGGTCTGCGAGAGCAGCTGCTAGGAGCTCATTCTGAGCAGAGGAACATGGCCGCTCTGCTGCTGGAGAAACAGCAGCAACAGATGGAACTGGCAAGGCAGCAGCAAGAACAGGTGTGGAGATGCTTTTAGTTGAAAAAGAAAAGGGAAACAATTCATTTGTTTTGAATTCATTTGAAATCCGCAACAGCAATATGTGAGTTAGTTTGGTTTCTAAATTCCGATTTTTTTTGTTTAGATTGCCAAACAGCAGCAGCAGTTGATACAGCAGCAACATAAAATCAACTTACTGCAGCAGCAAATTCAGGTGAGGATGAATGTCATGATTCATAATCTTGCAGTTTATTTCAATGTATGAACTGGGGACCATCTTAAGATCATAAAAGGAATAGTTCACCTAAAATGATTAAATCATCTTTTCTTTGGGTGAACTGTTCCTTTGAGACTATTTGGACAGTGTGGAAATACAATATAAGGTGACTTAAGGTGTTCTCTGTGACCTTTGACCCAGCAGGTAAACATGCCGTATGTTATGATCCCTGCCTTTCATCCCAATGCCCAACCGTTGCCAGTCACCTCTGAAGCCCAGATGGGTTTGCCTCTGCAGCCCATTCCCTGCAAACCAGGTGAGCTTCACCAAACCCTCGGTAATGTCCTCCACTCCCCTCCCTTCGCCCGATGGAGTGAATTGTTTGCACATCCTGATATAGGCATGAAAGATCTACCTATTGGCATATTGGGCAACCGTTAGCTTCAGATGGATCAAAGCATCTGTCAGAAAAAATATTATCCTTTGTCGGTTATTTAAAAAACGTGTTTGCTCTTGCGCTTTTCAGCATACGCTTATCAGAAAGTTGTTTGTATTTTTAGGTAATAAGTAGACTGGAGCAAAGCTGAACTGAAAGAGTTAATACTTGCTATTCTAGAAATGTATTAACTGCAAAATAACTTTTTCCTTCTCTTAATGCATGTTCGTCTGAAGGTCTGTTCTGTAATGTAAGTTATTGCATGAATTGATGTCTTTGGTCCACTTAGAAAGAGCTTCAGAAAGAAAGACTAATTGAAAGGACTGCCTGAGTGAATTTCTTGCATATGCACTGAAGAACAGCTCAGGGTTGGCCATTGATTTAGAGTGTATATTGGTCTGGTAAAATACAGAGCGGGTTCTTTGCATTGACGTCTGTAATGTGTGGCTCTGTGTCCTCACTCGGTTAAAAGACTCTTGTGAATGCACAACTTTGATGCCTGTATGCATGTACTCTATTCGCTTAGAAGATGAAGGGTAGAAGGAAAGAACAGGGAACAATAGAACAAGTGTATGAGCTAGTCAGCTAACAGCGTGCTTGACACAGTTGAGCCGCCTTTGTAATGAAACCTTGAGTAGAGGACCAAGGACGCCAGTGAATCTGAGCTCAAATACTTTTTTCAGCTAAATTAGAGATGTTCTCATGCGATAAACACTTTGAGAAGTTCTTACCTTGAAGTTAGACATGGAAATATTGACCTGAACCTAGCCTAAAACCTGATAGTTGGCCAAGTCCCATTGGGCTTGGGTTGGGTAGTAGATCTCTAGCATGTTCACTGACCATTTATGTTTGTAAATCCTTCAAGTTTCAGTCTTCTGAATTAACTTTCTTTGTTTTTAGTGGAGTATCCCATGACGTTGCTGCCCAATCCACACTCCACCCCAGTCAAAAGGTCCAGTGGTACAGTCTTTCGCCAGGTACCCTTCCTTACGTTGTTCTGCAGGTCATCTCACTTTGTTGTAACCATTAGTGAATCTCATAGTGACTTTGTTCTCCAGGATACCTGTCAACCTCTCAACCTCACGGCTAAACCCAAGACCCCAAGTCCACAGGCACTGGAAATGGCCCACTTGCAGACAGGGTACCGGCCCAGAGATCTGCCTCATAGCCCTTCTCGATCTGCCCTCAGCCTGAGTATGTGATACTACACCTCACTGACACATCCAGTCTCTAACATAATTTGCTTGGAAGGTCGAAGCTATGCTTTGTGTTTTGAGCTAATTTGACAAGTCGAAAGATTTTGTTACAACTGATCTTGCAACAACCGCAGAACTGTTTAGTAGATTTAGACCGAGACTGTAAATTTATTTATTACAGTTCCATAACAAGTTCCACAACTTTGTTGTGCTGTCAGGTGTGTCAGAAAATATCTCTACCTCTTTATGAGTCAGACACATCCACTGTGGTTTTCCTGCCATGGCATTGTTTGAGAGGGAAGTCCTTGAGGTTCACATTCAGAAAAAATGACCCTGTTAGAAAAGGACCCTTCTTAGGGTTCCCACTGCCAATACGCTTCTATCCCAAGTATTAACGGCAGTTGTCGGCAGTTCAGAAAACCTGCTCCCCCTTCGAACCAGCCCCTGAGAATGTGTCAGCACCAGACGTGACTGTTTGTCTTAAGCCTTTGGACTCAAGACTAGGGGGCTCATCCGGGACGGGATCATATACTTGAGATCGAGCCAAGTGCTTTATTTGTGCATCACAAGACGGAGTGGGATAAATGTATCTCTCTTGACCTTGTCTAAAGTTTCCTTTCTCTCTCACCCTTTCACTCTTCAGGCTTCTTGGGAGAGGGTGATGTTGTGACACAAGCCATTCATGATGCCCAGCAGCTGTTGCGTGGAGGACAAGGCCCGACAGGCCGAGAGAGGAACCGTGAGAGGGACAACAACACAAGGCTGGTGAGTCGATGTCTTAGCGCACACACAAACACGCTCTCAGATACTCCACACCCCAGTTCTCCAAGGTTCCTCACGGCACCTGGGGCCCGCTGTTTGTCACCATTGGTCATGCTTCAAGGCTGAAGCATCGGGGCAAGTGTCCATTAATGGCCCACACTTGAAGTGCCTCTCTTTCAGAACACCCACTGTGTTACAAGAGAAGAGGGGCGGTCAGGGTCAGCGATGGATATTGGTTTACAGAGGTTCATGATATCGGTTAAACAAGGGGTACATTCCCCTTTCAGCCAAGAACAGCTGTTATTAGAGTCCCACTGCAACTTGTGTGTTCACTTGTTTGTATATGTGGCAATTGCGGAACAGCCTCAAGTCTCCATAGACACCTGTTTCGACAACCACTTTGTTGCTCCTTTTGAGTTCAGTTTAACCGCAGGGAGATATGACAGTGATTTCGCCTTTGTTGTCAACAGGGTTTTGAAGCATTCCACTTAAACCTGTTTTTACAGCTTGACACTGTAGAACTGTTTTACGCACTCTTGAAAATGCAGGTAGACGTAGGCAACAAATCTGAGCCATTTGAAAGGGAGATGAATATAGCTCATTAATGTTTGAATTTCAGAATTATATTTGACAACCACAAATGTCCCTGGAGCTCTTTGTGTTGTTGCTTTGGTAATGTTGTCCAGCTTCTGTAGCAACGGTGCTAACATAAAATCAATTCCTGTTCCAGCTGGATGCAATGATCACTGATGATTTTTTTAAAATATGTTTTAACATAAGCTGTCTTTCCATCTGTCTGTCTGTTGATTTATTATAAGGAGGCGTCTCGAGACCGGATGGATAATGGACAGTCCCTGCGGATGAATGAGGACCACCTCAGCAGTGACTCTGAGGGTATGTATGGGTCAACTATTTTTTTTTCCACTTTTTCAGTTTAATTTTGGCAATACATTAATAAGCATATTCCCAGGATGTTGTGCTTTAGCTGTTCACACGGGAGAGTCTTTAAATTAGTTTTTGCACTGCTTCTTGCGGTGATGCTGTGCCAACTTAAAAATAGATTGCATTGTGTTCTATTCTTTTGCAAACCATTTCGGTCTTATGTAAACGCCCCCTATGAAACCTGGCCGATCATCTCATCCCAATCTAATTATATATGGTTACCAGTTTAGCTGACTAGTCGTTCAAATTGTTCATTTTGACATGTGATGTTTTATTAACAAATTTTGGGAGGAGCACGCGCAGATAATTAACACAGCCAGTCCATCATCAGTAATTACACCATCTATCCAACCAGCACAAGAGAAAACCCCTATAAATAACCAAAGCAGCCTTACCTTCATTATCTCTAGTCTTTCAGCATCCCTCCACCACCCCGACTCCTCACCTTCAGCCCGTTCCTACCCCAGCACGGGGAGGAGCGCTCTGGGTCCGGGCTAAAAGCCGAGCTCGGACCCCTCTCCCCGGACAGGGGGAGTACCCCAGGCTCGAGAGTAATTACCGAGCTCGGAGCCCTCTCGCCGGACAGCACGCCAAATACGCATAACCTTTACTTTGTTTATTATTTGTAAGTGTGAACTCGTGAAATGTAGTTTTGCATGTCACTAGTATGTGTGCAAATTCTTTAGCCAAGAAATTTCACTTGATTTCAAATTTTAGCTTTGTGTGCTTACGAATGCATATGAATTTATGACTGTTTCTAATACAATAAAAAAAAACCTCTTTGGCATGCAGCAAACACAGATGCCACCTGCCTATGTAATTGCATTTGGCTGCAGGGCGTGTAGTCAAACAAAAGGAAGTTGTGTGTGTCTAGACTGATTGTTTTGTTTTTAATCTTGTTCCCAACAGGGCAGATGGCAATCTCTGGTGTGGGAAACTTTGGTGAATCCCGGACTCCCTCCTCTGGCCACATCAAACGTCCCATGAACGCCTTCATGGTGTGGGCCAAAGACGAAAGACGACGTATCCTGCAGGCGTTCCCTGACATGCACAACTCCAGTATCAGCAAGATCCTCGGTAAGAGAGAATGGAGCCGCTGCTTTAAAAAACATTAGATTTTAGCGATGGTCTATTGATAGTTAAGATAGTTGGTAACACTTTTGATGAGGGAACACTATTCACTATCAACTAGTTGAATGCATATTACTAGCATAGTGGCTTTTTATTAGCACATATTAATGCATGACCATATTCTACATTCCTTAACCCTAAAGATAACTACTGCAACAACTACCTTACTTACTATCAATAAGCAGCAAATAATGAGTTTATTGAGGGAAAACCCTTATAGTGAATGTGTATTCCTTAATCTGAAGTGTTAGCAGTTTAGAGGTAATAATATTAAAAGATTGTTATATTTTAAAATTATTAACATTGCATGCACATAAATGATACAAGTCTGACACATAACTCTAATTTGCACATTTTAATTGTTGTACTTAGTCTTTCACTCTGCCCATAGATTTTTAAGATAAGCACATTATGTTAGCTTTGTCCATCAAAGTGTTTTTATAATTGTCTTCTTGTCAAAGAAAAATGTTGCTGTCAAATATTTTTCACCATACTTTCCATCAACGCATGCTCTTCTGACTAGTGTCTCTAATCCTTCCTCTTTGTGGATTCCGAAGCACCTGTTCTGACAACATTGTCCTCATTGTTGTATTATTATTTCATCTCCTCTACCCCTTTATCTTTCTCTTCAGATCAGTTGTTTATTGTTGGGATGGGCTGAGGGGTTATGGGAAAGTTGAGGTTGTTATGCTCACAGCTAATCCTACAGTCACAAGTGTAGGTGTTACTCTGTAAAACACATCTATATTTTCAAACATGCAACTTGCTATTGCCCCCTGGAATGGAGAGGAGGACACAAGGTCTTAGGGGGTTAAAAAAGGGGTCACACCAGGGCACGAACAGCCACCTGGCTCCTGGGGTGACAGGAAAACAACACCCAAAACTTCAACCCCCTCATCCCTTGCTGCACCTCTGCCTTCCTCAGTTCTTTCCTTTCACAAAACACTCACATTCCATTCCATTGTGCTGACACTGACACCCTCCTGATTCAGGCTTTCTTCTCCTCCTGAACATGGCCCGCAGCTCCTTTTAGTACACACCTACGTTTCTGTCAGTTTCCTACCTTTTTAGCCCGGAGCACACTTTAAGAGGAAGCGCCATTGCACGTATGAAGTCAGTAAATCAAATTCTTACAATGTCAAATATTTGCAACATGTAGAGAATTAGGTCAATGAATTCTTCGGGTCAGTGATTGTTTTTCTTCTTCTTTGTACTTTCACTCTAATTTATCTCTCACTTCCCGATCGATGTGGAATTTCAACTCTCACCGACTCTCAAAATCTAAAAACAAACAAAAAAAAAACCCCACTGAAAACCCTGCTCCAAATGCACTATGTGGTCAAAAGTATGTGGATACTTTCTTCTAATATACTGGTTTAGTAGCTTTAATCATTACTGACAGGTGCATATCATATACAGCCATGAAATTTAATTTTTTTACTGCAATAGCGCATATATTTATTTTCCAGTATCATCTAGTGAAAAACATTTCCGTGTGTGTATGAACAAGCTCCCATAAATGTTCAAGCACATGGGTGTGTTATTTAGGTGTCCACATACTTTTGCTGCCCACATGTTGTTTTCCTTTGGTTATATGATATTGTACCTTACTTATTGTAATTCTTGCCATCCTTTAGGTTCCCGGTGGAAGACCATGTCCAATCAGGAGAAGCAGCCGTACTATGAAGAGCAGGCCAGACTGAGTCGGCAGCATCTGGAACGTTACCCAGACTACAAATACAAACCCCGGCCGAAGCGGACCTGTATTGTGGAGGGTAGACGACTGCGGGTTGGAGAGTACAAGGCCATGATGAAGAGTCGACGACAGGAGCAACGAGTTACTTACCCTCCAAGGTGATGCCTGCTGACACACTCAACAGATCTGAATTTTTCAGAGGTGCCTTTTGTTGGAGAATGCAGTAGGGATGTTCATCTCCATAACTAAAGGTCGATGCGATGCGTGTCTCGATGCATAGCCAACGATACAATAGATTAAAGATACATTTGAAGCAGCGATGCAATGCGATTCACCCCTATTACGATGCAGTGCAATCTGATTTAACACAATGCGATTCAATGCAATACGATGGAAAAAATTTGATGCTATGATTGCATATAATTGATTGCTATCAATATGGTACAGATAGTTAGCTTTTATTTCTTTGGTTCAGACAGATAGCTATGTTAATCTATATTCTATATGACTGTCAGGACATGCTAGTTTAGAGAGGAGAAATCAATCTACATCAGCGGTCACACTAAGTGAAAATTTTCCGTCATTTACGGAATTTTTTTACAAACATATTTTGTTGTTTTTAGTGGCATCCACTGTCACTGCGGTGTGGTGTTGAACGTGAAAAGTGACGAACAGACTCTATTCATCTGTTCTCTTCATAAATAAAAACAAATGCATAAGCCTATATGCTCATCCTGTAGGTTCATGATTAAAAATGTAAATGTGAACAAAAATACAAGCAATTAAATGTGTTATTATAATTAAAATTAAAGTGACCGGTAATAATAGATTATGACAGAATTTTTACGACCCTGTTTATCAAAATAATGGACACTATTAAAGTCTAGCGCAAGCTCTGATCTACATATAACATTTTTGGTCACTTTCTAAATAATAAAAGTATAGTGCATCTACTAATAATTATATATAAATAAATCGTTTTTTACCGATGCAAATATGTTAGAAATGATGCATCGCAATACAAATGCCAACTTGCATCAATTTAAAAAGTGCGCATCGGATACATTGCCTCGTTAACTTTTATGCTAATGCACCGATGCAAATCGGTGAATCTTACCATTCCAAGAATGCAGTCATCTCATCAGTAATGTAAAATACCTGATGTTTGGTTTGACGTTTATTCCCACAGTCAGTTAGAGCAGCAGCTACCGTACCCCTCCAGTGAAGGACAGTACCCGACCACGCCGGTGTCAATGGCCCCATTGCCCTTGCACCCTGCCCTCCTGGAGCACTACCTTCCTCGGGGTCTGGAGCCCCCAAAAGGCCAAGGGAGCGAGATGCGGGAGGCCGTGAGGCCCAGACAGCCCTACAGCGAAGGGGAGGAGAGTGACGCAGGTGAACGCAGTGAGGGAGAGCTGGTTGTCCTCACTGACTGAGACAGAACAAGGAACAATCGGAGGACAGAGAGGGTGGAAAATGTGATGAATGAGATGGAGAAAATAATTGGGAGTTTTTGCAATCCCTACCTACAACATGATGGTGTCCAATAAATGGTATAGGTCAGTGTTTTCCAGTCCAGTTGTGAGGATGTCCTGGTTTCAAACCCGCCAGATCGGTCACATGGTTCTCTAGAGTTGGTTAGGAAGGCAGCAAACATGATAAACAAAGAACAGATCTTCATTTTTCAGATTTTTTCCCAGTTCTTTAGGCCAGACATCCAGGATAGGTCTTACATACTGACCACAGCTTGGAAAAAGCGAGACTTTTTCACTCTACCATATTCATTATGAGACCGCACATCTCGAGTCTTTTGAAGGCATTGTGAAGCTGGTGTTCAAAAATTGTTTTACAAATCATCAAATGTCACTGCATTTATTATGAAGTAAATGTCATCTGCGAAGTGCATAAGCAATTGCATGAGAACCAGCTTTTCTATAAGGGGTACAGATAAGTATATTCACTGTTGGCTTATCTGAAAAAGTTCCACATTTGACACCATGTCAAATGATTGGCAATAATAGCATGAAACGGTTCACACGAAATGAAAAGAGATTGAAAATGAAAAATTTTTGGATGAACTATTTCTTTAAATAGACAAAACGTGAAGAGCTATGAATCATTTTGCCATAGAAATAAAACAAAACTAAACCCTCTCTGTGTTATAATGCTTCTTGATGTCACCAGGGTTTTCCTGCAAAAGTTCCTGTTAAGACTGTGCCAAGGTACTTTCCAGAGCTCAAGGGCTGAGCAAAAAAAGAAAACAAGTGGACTTGGAAAAAGGAAGGAACATTCCTGAACTCCTTGTTCAGTTTATTATACTAGATAATGACGATTAGAGGCTGTTCTGCTACAGAGATTTAAGCAGCCTGCCCCTTTAAGACTCGCTAAGTGCAGCGAAGGTTGGTGGCGTCCTCTGCTGTTTGGATCTGGGTACTGCACATAAAATATTTCCCCGGGTCAAAATCATATTTTCGTTTCTTTTGATTTAGTGCAGAATAATCACTTGAAATGCACTTTCCCCATCTAATATATATTTTTCAGATCCTCATGATTCATAATAGAACTTTTTTTTCAGAGTAGAATTTTGCACTTGATGTACATATGCAAATCATTTCTACTATTCATTTTGTCAAAGGAGATGTGAATAATGCCCTTCCCTCAGATTACTCCCATTTTTTTTTAAATTTTGGTTTACTTTTCTATTTTAGTGTGTGTGTGTGTGTGTGTGTATATATATATATATATATAGCGTGATTTTGTGCTGAAGAAAATAACTGAGTTATCATTCCAGCAGTTCTTAAGACCGGGTCCATATTATTGGGCTGCTAGTCAATTTACAGTTGAGCTGAAATGTAAACATTTTGTTAAAAATTATAAGCATTTATATTTTAAAGAGGAGATTTTAGAAGATATCTGCCAGTGGACTGTTAGGATAAATCTATACATGTTAAAGGAAATGATGGCTGCGTTACAGTAGCGCCGCCTGCTGGTCTCCAGCAAACACACACTTGGGGCCCATGCCAACCTAACAATCCAATACACTCCCAGTTCAGTTAAATATACAAAACAAGTAGAAATACTAAAGATGTAAGTATAAATGAAACATAATCTGTACATTTCTTCAGTACATTCACAAAAGATGTACATTCAAATAAAGCGCACACTGTGAAGCAGACTTGTTTGGTATGTTTTCAATATAGCAAATGAAACAAAAATCCCAACACAGATGCTTCCTGTAAACATCCCTTTTAAGAGCAGAGGTTTAAAAAGGGATATTTACAAGGTCATTTCAAATAATAGAGATAATAACTAATATTATATACAGGGGTGGTGCTATGAAATGTCTAGGATGTTAAAATCTACTTTGTTCCACATTAAGAAGTTGATGGGATAATCTCAGTTATATACAAAATAAACTTTCCAGGAAACGGGAATGGTGTTTGTAAACATTTCCCCCTTCACATTAGAAATGGCCTTCATATCATAAAAGAAAACTGATAAGTAACTAATATTTTACAGAAGTAGTTTTCTTCTGGTGGACACATTCACATATGTACATCTACACACATATCTTGCAATTGCACTCCTGTTATATGAACATTGTTCAAATTTATAACATTCTTCATGCATGCAAGGAATATGCAACCTATATAGCAATTGCACTCCTGTTATATGAACATATTGTTCAAATTTATAACATTCTTCATGCATGCAAGGAATATGCAACCTATATAAATATTTTTCACTTTTTTTAGTCATCATGGAACACAAAGTGACAAAGATGTAAAAATACATCAGCTGGCCTTAAAAGTAGAATCTTGTGGAAGCCATCAAGAGCATAAAACTGTAATTACTGTAATTCTAATAACGGTTGCATTTTCATTACTGTAATGCACATAAAACTAATTAAATTACATAGCACATTTGTGCAATCGATTTACAGTATTTTTTATTTAATTTACACTGAGTTGAACTAAAAAAAGAATGTTTTTTTTACAGAAATTGGAATGTTTTTGCATTTTCTGTATGCAAAGTATTATTTCTTACTTTTACTTTAATTTGTATGGTGAAATTGGACCTGGAAATGTTTTCTCAAGATTCACCTTAAAACTGCAACTCAAATTTTAGATTTAAGCAGTAAAAAGTGAACACAACCAGAACACAGTACATTAGCACAGAGCTATCAGGCAGTTCCAACTCATTAGAGAAACACTGGCTACAAAATTATTCATGATTTTGTTGAAGGGCCTCTTGCTTTCAGTCGTCGCCTGCGTCTCAAAGCATTTCATTATTAACCTGCTCCTGACACAGAGCCAGAGACACCTCAGAGATTTGACCGTGACCCCACTGCTCAAACGCAACATCTAGCTTCAGTTTCAAGATGGTCTGAAAAGGACTGCTGTACTAATTGACCAGGGACTGATCTGGTCGGTCAATAAAAGGACACTTGGGTTCAACAAGCTGCCAGACAGATTCCAGTGATACTTAAAATGGATGAATCTCACAAAAACATATTCAGGTCACATTTTATGACAAAAGTGATGAGGAAAATTAAGAAATTACATTTTGCGTTAAAAGATAACAGAATGACATTTCCATAATTTAGCTAATTTCACTCCCCAAGTTCTTTTAATGCCTCCACATTCTTCTTAAGAATTTTCAATAATTCAAATTTTTCCTCTTAAATTGTCATGAAATTAATGTTTAAATGCAATAAATCGTAACATTTGTAAAAAAAGAAGAAAAAAAAGGCTTACTTTCTTTTTGAAAAATACCTTTTTTTTCTTTTCTTTTGGGTATATGGCCTGATATGTTCTTGACAGATTCCCACAAATATCTCTCGATCTCTAATTTACAGTACAATATTACAGCTGGAGTGGTGCAATTCTTGGCATTTTCCATATGCATGACAAAATAAACTTATGATTTTGTGCTTTGTGAGGCTTTAGCAAGTTTCTACTGAAATGTTTTACTCAGACAAAAACGGACATCATTTTACAGTGAAAGCATAATATATGCGACAAAGAAATTAAATAAAGCAAAAGACTGGGAAATATGAAATTATGTTCTTGTAGGTGAGAGAATTTTAGATTAACAGCACTGAAACGAAATGTAATTCAAAATGTTTTGAAAAGACTTTGAAAACCACATACAACCAGACAGTCCAGGTATTTAAGGACTGAAATGGCAATTACAGTACATCCCTAAATCTGCAATTAATATTCTAAACTTAAATAATCTCGTCCTTGTTGCTCCAGGACATTGAGTCCTCACAGATGGTGACCTGAAACAAACTACAAAACACAGTTACATTAAATATTGCCCCCTTTTCCAGTTTTAGAAAACTATTAGATTGATGTTTGGTGGGGTTACATTAGGAATGAGCTTAGTGATTATTGAGCAGATAATGACTTTCAAATCTCAGTTTGAGCTCTGCCAGGTGATGCAAACGTATTTACTGTAGGACAGAGAGCAAGAGAAGGAGGGGGAAGTGGGAGGCAGGTGGTAATATACCACAGTCTGTGATGAGTGGAAAATTCAACAGAACTCCTCACAACCATAAAAGCTAAATAGGTGGAAATGTGGCTGAGATGCTGAGGGGTCTCGTAGACCTGACTTCTTGGGAATGTCTGGAGTGAGGTCACATTGACTTCAATGGTTACTTGGTTACTTGCCTTTTAACTGGCGTCATTCATTCAAAGTGACTTATAGGGGACAAATTGCAGGGTTTAAGTCATTTGCTCAAGTGCGTAATAGTGCAGAACAGGGCAGGATTTTGACCTTGGTAACTATTTAGTTCCTGAGTCAACCCCTTTGGCTCTTAAACAGAAACTTTTGTATTATCAGCCCAGATTTTTACACATAACCCCATTACTGCACAGTAAGATAAAGCTGAAAGTACTTTTATTTTATTTTTTTGGACTTCGAGCATTTGTCAATGCAAAAGAAACAACGGTGGGCCACGTCCATTTGACAGAAGCATTATGAAGCCACAGGCTGAATGTTTCGTGTTAGTCAATGCCCATAGTATCAACATATCCCCTTGCTCAACATCACTGCAGGCCTCCTCCACAGCAAATTCTGCACAAGTTTGCTATGGCTCTCACACCGCAAAACCCATTACAAGAAGTCCCAAAGCAAAGTCGGCTCCAAGAGCATAAGGACTACTTTGGTGCAAAACAAGTGCCCAATGATAATTAATAAATAAGCTGTATTTAAAACATAAATAACACACTCATTTCAAGGGAAACTTGATCAACTAAAAGTTGAGTCCCAAAAAGAAACATGGTGTTTGAAAAAGGAATCAAGAATTTGTGGAACTACGACTTGGCAGACAAGTTGTCAACCAATCATAAGAGGTCCCAGTGCTTACCCCTGCTGCACCCCATACCCTTCCCTGACTAAAAAGGCCTCTGATTCCATAGTCAAACGGTCAACGATGAGGTCAACAGATACCAGCACTGTCCTCTCAAAACTTAACGTCTCATTTGGGGATCTCCAGGGCCATTACAGCAGGTTTGGTCTTGAAGTACTGATTGAAACGTAGCACGGCATACCTAGGAAAAGAGTATGACAGAATCTGAGCTTAAAGTCAAAATTAGGAATAAGACACAATAAGTAATATTGTCAGAAATTAACTTTTTTCAAATCAGAAATTAATTTTATTCCCCAATAATGTTTTTCTTTTACCTTTAAAATGAGATATGTTTTTATAAACAAATAAAAACAAAAACATGTCACTTTTTTAAAATTTTATTTTAGAAATTGACAAATTTTGGCTGTTATATCTATACAATTATCATCAGTTTTTAATGTATTTATAGATTTTGTTTGTGTTATGCTATATATATTAAATTAGTAGCACTATACTGTAAGTATAACAAATTAATTACAAATAAATGTATTATTATTAAATACAAAACAGCATAATAAATGGACTTATAACCCGAAGGTCGTGGGTTCGAGTCTCAGGTCTGGCAGGAATTGTCGGTGGGGGGAGTGAAAAACCAGCGCTCTCTCCAACTTCAATACCACGACTGAGGTGAGACCCTTGAGCAAGGCACCGAACCTCAACTGCTCCCCGGGCGCCCTGCTCCAGGTGTGTGTGCACTTGAATGGGTTAAATGCAGAGTACAAATTCCGAGTATGGGTCACCATACTTGGCCACACGTCACTTTACATAATTAAATATATATTGAATCAATTTAAAAACGCCTTGATGGGCATTTTGCCTTAAGACCTGGTTATTTGTTGACCTTTTTTTTTTTTGTTAAATTTGTTGTTTAACCTTTTCCTACATGCAACAATGCTGATTTTTTTTAAACAGGCTGTAGGATCCCTCCTGATCTCATCTGTGCAGGCACTGATTTGTTGTTAAAAGGTGCAGCTTGAGTAGAACAAGACCTGTTGCTTGGAAACTGGTGACGTAGGAAGTTTACAGAATATATTACTTGAGCCAATTTAATAAAAGTGAGCCACAATTCCTACAAAAATATCCTCAGCCTACGGATGACATAACTCACCCCCTCCATATAACCAAGACTAGAGTAACTTAATTAAAGTTTCATAGTGCTACAGATACACAACCCTGAAGATTTCAAGTGCGGTTTAGGTCGAGTGCCAAAGTCACAGAGGGCAGCAGGCTGTAACTCACTTGTTGCAGTCAAATCTACTTTTCACCTCTGGAAAACAAACACCATTGACTGGTTTCTATAGGCAATAGAAATAACAATCCGCACCCATTCATTTTGCAGTATGCGGGAGAGCTTCATATTAGACGTTCCCCTCCAACTGAGGCTTTCATTCACAGATTTCTCAGATCTAATGTATTTTTAAAGTGCAAAGACAATGGACAAGGTATTGGGACATTGTTTTAGCCATGAACCCAAGAGATCTCAGCTTCATGTGATTCTATATATAAATGTTATTTATTTATTTATTATTTTGTTGTTTTACTTTTGATATTAAAAAGTGACAAATAACCTGGAGACCCATATAGTATAATTATATTTTCAGGGTATTAATATGATTTATATTATGATATTCATAGTATGTATGTCATACATACTACGTCACATACTACTTATATTAGCATTTTTTTAAATTAAATTTCTAAATTTGGTCCAATGTGTCCAATATTGAAATACCAGGACTTATTCCCAGTATACAATTTTATATTAGCTTACAAAAGTATCTTCTGGAACTAAAACTTGCTTGTTTATTAGCTGCACGAGTTGCCACCACTTACTGTCACTTACATATCACTTACTGTACATTCTTTATCTGCCAGTAACACCCATTTCTCTTAACACAGTCTTAACATGCCTGTAAATAAATCCTCCCCCATCACAGAGATGAAAGGTTTGCTGAGCTGGGTATGCTGCTTACCCAAGGAAGTCAAACTCAATTGTGGAGTACTTGGCTTGGATCAGGGCCCAGAAACCCCAGAAGAAATGTGAAGCCTGCCAAAGCAGAAGAACAAGAACTTTAGGGCAAAGCCTCCCAGCTCAGTCCATACACAGACGTATCGCTGACACCAATCAACATGCAAAAAGCTTGTAATCCATATCCTAGGAATAAACTTCATAAATGCAGCATTATGAAAACACTTCCTCCTCTATGATCCTCTGGACACTCACCAGAGCAAATTTGTTGACCTGTACATAGAGTGTCTCCAGTTCACGCTGGCTCACCTCTTCACCTTTCTTGGTAAAGAGCTTGTAGGCCTGCAAATAAGTGTGCAACCAGTCCAACTGCATTTCTTGACTGGGATAAAGGTTATAGTCGGGTTCACTCATGCCTGATAAACAAACAAATACACGTATAATGAGGTTAATGCAAAACAAATCCCAGAGGATTACTTTTATGAATGATATTTTAATGCCGCTCACCTGCAAATTCATTAAAATGGTTTCCAATGTCAAATGCTTGGTAGTTGTAACTTGAGTATTCATAATCGATAAACCGAACATGACCTGAAAAAAGCAAGAGGGGTTGATTTGTAGTAAGAAAAACTAAATATTAGACTTGAATGCCTTTTAATACAAAATCACAAAATGTAATGCCTTAGGTGAAAAGTGTCAACACTTTGGCTCTATGGTGTTGTCAATATTTCTTTGTTTGAGCAGCCCAACATGTCAACTTCTGGCTCAACCAAATGAAGGATTTCATGTTTGCCTAAATAATAAAACACGGGAGGCAGCATGGAAACAGCGGCAGTAGTGTTTGTGAAACGTGGAAGCAGTCAGTATATTTGCTATTATGTTGCACAATATTAGATATACATTTTAAAACAACAGAAAAACATATACATATACACATACCGTTCATACATTTATGAACGGTTTGTAAGGTGCTTTTTTTTTGGAAAGAAATTAACACTTCTACTTAGCAAGGACACACTAGATTGATTGATTAAAAGCCACAGTAAAGATATTTATAATATCCGTTTCAAATAATTCTATTCTTTTGAACTTTTTATTTATCAAAGAATTGAAAAATTCAGTTTTGCCATTACAGAAATAAGTTACATTTTAAAATATCTTAATTAATATTATTTCACAATTTTACAAAATAATATTATATTTTATCAAATGCAACCTTAGTGAGCATAAAAGACTTATTTCAAAACATAAAAAAAAAAAGAAGGAACTTACGGGTTTGGAACAACATGAAAGAGTAATTAATGACAGAATTTTCATTTTTGGGTGAACTATCCCTTTAATAAGTTCATGTTAGCTCATGTTAGCTGAAGTCTGTTAAATAACATTATCAAACACACTTTGGATTTTAATAATGTTTTATTATATGCTGAAATGAACATTAAGATTAATAAAAGTAATTTTCATTGCCAGTTCATGTACTTAGAGTTAACAAATGGAATCCTATTGAATCAACTAAATGCTTCATCAGGCTTTTAACGGATGGATTAACAAAAGAGAAATTAAGACAGTGATAAAGTCGTCCAGTTAAACCAATGAGAAAGTCTGTCCGAGTGACCACTCTCCCTTCATAATGGGCTTAAGGAGCTATTTCTAGAATCTTCTTTTGCCCTGCGGCGGCTCACTCAAAACCTAGGAGCACTGATCTGATTTGTTGCTTTTTTGCTTAAGTTGATGACTTGTATAAAGTCAAACTACTGTGTGAAATCGGCCAATTTGACTTTGGGCAGTAGTATAATCTCCACCAGAGAATCTCTTATGAAACTAATGCTCTAATGACTGATGACGGAAATGACTTCTCATGTGCATTATCTCTGACTCCCAATAAACGTCAGGATGCAAAAAGAGAGAGCATGTTTGTAAGGAAGACAGTGGAGATAATTATGTGACATAACAGCTCTGCGCATGAGATTAGACGGACGGATGCAATCTGTATACTGTGTAACACCTGTCTGAGCAAAATCTAAACGTACAGTGGTTTCGAATGGCTTTAATAGGTCTCATCCAATCAGATTCTGAGTTGTGAACTATTTGTGTTATAACCTGAATTTTAGATCATTGAAGATTTAAAACCCACTCTCTGAGGGTTACCTGACATTAGATGCTTGGTCTGTGAACTCAGTGGCCACCAGCGAGAAGTACTTGCGCATTTTGATCCACAGGTTGGGTTTGGGGATGCAGCCGTTGTGTGCGTGGATGGCGTGAATGCGGGCCATTTCACGCGCGATCAGTCTGCCAATAATAACAAAGGAAGAAGTTGGTCAAAATGGCAGCGTTTCATTTCAGGTTAAATACAATGCCTGGAAAAAGCTGTTTGAGTGGAAAAATGGATATTAGCCCTGGGTCACTGGTGTAGATTTTGATACGGTTCACTGTGTGCCTGGAAGGAGATTACGTGACCCTCATGACAGGAATGAACACTTCTGTCTGAGTGCACATGAACTTCACTCCAAATTTGCAGTTAGCTTAGACTATATAAAGAATGTTTGCACAAAACATTCTTCAATATTTAAAGACATTTTTTCAAAGGGTGCCTACTATGTCAGCTTTGTTCTTATTTCTTTTTCAACAAATTATGTTTCTATTTAATTATTTCAAATAGTGATACTCCAACTAGTTAACATTTATTCTTTGGCATAAATCTATCACTTACCAATAGTGATTAGTATTCTACCTATTACATATATATATATATAAAATTAATAATAATAATAATAATAATATTACAAAAATAGTAAGCATCACAACTATTTTCAACATTGATAATGAAAAGAAATGTTGAGCCGCAAATCAGCATATTAGAATGATTTCTGAAGGATCATGTGACACTACAGACTGGAGTAATGATGCTGAAAATTCAGCTTTGCATCAGAAATAAATTACATTTTAAAATACATTTAAATAGAAAACACTTATTTTAATCTGCAATATTATTTCATAGTATTACTGCTTCTGCTGTATTTTTATCAAATAATCAGTGAGCATAAGAGACTTCTTTCAAAAACATTTTACAAATATTAACAATCACACTTTTGAATGGTAGTGTAAACTGATTAATTTTCAGTATTGATTTTTGATTAATTAAATTTTACCTCATTGTAATGCATTCTGGGATTCTCTTATCAAAGGATAATATTTTAAAATTTGAACAAATTAGGTATAATTATGTAATTAGTACAATTATAAATATGTAAGAAGTATACGTTTTTGGAACAGAGCTAAGATTAGTTTTAAAGCCTTCCTTATTATAGTCACAAAGGCCAAAATAGGCAATGTACATCAAAGTAAAATCAAAGTGAAGTACTCCATGTTCTAACCAAAATGCCCAAGTCAATAGACCAAATAAATGTGTTATTTTTAGAATGAACACCCATTTGGATCCTTCCATTTTGTGCCTTGTGCTGAACGGACCCACCTGAGTAACACAGGGTCCCTGACGTCTTGAGTATCCAGAGCACGTCCTTGTATGAACTCGTAGCAGATGCCATTCTGGAAGGAGCAGTAAAGTCGGGGCGCGCAACCGTTGGCGTGCAGAACCTGGAAGCTCTTCAGTTCATTGTCTCGGTCTACGATCAGCTCGGTCTTGTTGCCGTACACCCTTACCAGCACCACATCCTCGAGGCAGTCCTCCACATAACACCCCACCAGTTTGTTAGTTGTGCCATCGGTGAAAAGCTAAAGGTACAAAGCAAACATAAGGAAGGATTGCAATCACAGCTATTTTTGGTTGCAAGATATTTAAACTTTACAGTTGACTTGAAACGGCATTCAAAACCAGTTTTACTTCTGTAATTTGAAGTATATCATGCAACAAGAACTGAATGTTGAAACTGTTTTATGTTTACTTAAAGGGTTTGTTCAGCCACAAATTAAAATGTACTCGCCTTCAGGCCATCCAAGATGTAGATGAGTTTGTTTGTTCATCAGAAAAAATCTTTGGAGAAATTTAGCATTACTTCACTTGCTCAAGTAATTTTCATTGCCAGTTCATGTACTTAGAGTTAACAAATGGAATCCTATTGAATCAACTAAATGCTTCATCAGGCTTTTAACGGATGGATTAACAAAAGAGAAATTAAGACAGTGATAAAGTCGTCCAGTTAAACCAATGAGAAAGTCTGTCCGAGTGACCACTCTCCCTTCATAATGGGCTTAAGGAGCTATTTCTAGAATCTTCTTTTGCCCTGCGGCGGCTCACTCAAAACCTAGGAGCACTGATCTGATTTGTTGCTTTTTTGCTTAAGTTGATGACTTGTATAAAGTCAAACTACTGTGTGAAATCGGCCAATTTGGACTTGTATAAAGTCAAACTACTGCGTGAAATCGGCCAATTTGACTTTGGGCAGTAGTATAATCTCCACCAGAGAATCTCTTATGAAACTAATGCTCTAATGACTGATGACGGAAATGACTTCACATGTGCATTATCTCTGACTCCCAATAAACGTCAGGATGCAAAAAGAGAGAGCATGTTTGTAAGGAAGACAGTGGAGATAATTATGTGACATAACAGCTCTGTGCATGAGATTAGACGGACGGATGCAATCTGTATACTGTGTAACACCTGTCTGAGCAAAATCTAAACGTACAGTGGTTTCGAATGGCTTTAATAGGTCTCATCCAATCAGATTCTGAGTTGTGAACTATTTGTGTTATAACCTGAATTTTAGATCATTGAAGATTTAAAACCCACTCTCTGAGGGTTACCTGACATTAGATGCTTGGTCTGTGAACTCAGTGGCCACCAGCGAGAAGTACTTGCGCATTTTGATCCACAGGTTGGGTTTGGGGATGCAGCCGTTGTGTGCGTGGATGGCGTGAATGCGGGCCATTTCTCGTGCGATCAGTCTGCATTTAAATAGAAAACACTTATTTTAATCTGCAATATTATTTCATAGTATTACTGCTTCTGCTGTATTTTTATCAAATAATCAGTGAGCATAAGAGACTTCTTTCAAAAACATTTTACAAATATTAACAATCACACTTTTGAATGGTAGTGTAAACTGATTAATTTTCAGTATTGATTTTTGATTAATTAAATTTTACCTCATTGTAATGCATTCTGGGATTCTCTTATCAAAGGATAATATTTTAAAATTTGAACAAATTAGGTATAATTATGTAATTAGTACAATTATAAATATGTAAGAAGTATACGTTTTTGGAACAGAGCTAAGATTAGTTTTAAAGCCTTCCTTATTATAGTCACAAAGGCCAAAATAGGCAATGTACATCAAAGTAAAATCAAAGTGAAGTACTCCATGTTCTAACCAAAATGCCCAAGTCAATAGACCAAATAAATGTGTTATTTTTAGAATGAACACCCATTTGGATCCTTCCATTTTGTGCCTTGTGCTGAACGGACCCACCTGAGTAACACAGGGTCCCTGACGTCTTGAGTATCCAGAGCACGTCCTTGTATGAACTCGTAGCAGATGCCATTCTGGAAGGAGCAGTAAAGTCGGGGCGCGCAACCGTTGGCGTGCAGAACCTGGAAGCTCTTCAGTTCATTGTCTCGGTCTACGATCAGCTCGGTCTTGTTGCCGTACACCCTTACCAGCACCACATCCTCGAGGCAGTCCTCCACATAACACCCCACCAGTTTGTTAGTTGTGCCATCGGTGAAAAGCTAAAGGTACAAAGCAAACATAAGGAAGGATTGCAATCACAGCTATTTTTGGTTGCAAGATATTTAAACTTTACAGTTGACTTGAAACGGCATTCAAAACCAGTTTTACTTCTGTAATTTGAAGTATATCATGCAACAAGAACTGAATGTTGAAACTGTTTTATGTTTACTTAAAGGGTTTGTTCAGCCACAAATTAAAATGTACTCGCCTTCAGGCCATCCAAGATGTAGATGAGTTTGTTTGTTCATCAGAAAAAATCTTTGGAGAAATTTAGCATTACTTCACTTGCTCACCAAAGGATCCTCTGCAGTGAATGTGTGCCGTCAGTCCAAACGGCTGATAAAAACATCGCAACAGTCCACAAGTAATCCACACCACTCCAGTCCATCAATTAAAGTCTTGTGCAAAAGCTGCATGTTTGTAAGAAACAAATCCATCAAGATGTTTTTAATTTCAAACTGTAGCTTCCAGCTAAAATACGAATCCTCTATCCATATTATTGCTTTCTCGAAATAAAAAGTTGTCTTGTCTGAATCAGGAGAGAAATAAGTGAAAACAGTTTGCATGTTGGTGGATTTTGAAGTACGTGGACAACAGGGATGGACTTTTTTACTAAAGGAAGCGTTATTGTGGACTATGGACTTGTATGTTGGTCAGAACAATGGTTTAAAGTTAAAATGCCTTGATGGATTTGTTTCTTAAAACAAGCAGCTTTTTACCTCACAAGGTGTTAAAATTTGAACAAATTAGTTATAATTATGTAATTAGTACAATTATAAATATGTAAGAAGTATACGTTTTTGGAACAGAGCTAAGATTAGTTTTAAAGCCTTCCTTATTATAGTCACAAAGGCCAAAATAGGCAATGTACATCAAAGTAAAATCAAAGTGAAGTACTCCATGTTCTAACCAAAATGCCCAAGTCAATAGACCAAATAAATGTGTTATTTTTAGAATGAACACCCATTTGGATCCTTCCATTTTGTGCCTTGTGCTGAACGGACCCACCTGAGTAACACAGGGTCCCTGACGTCTTGAGTATCCAGAGCACGTCCTTGTATGAACTCGTAGCAGATGCCATTCTGGAAGGAGCAGTAAAGTCGGGGCGCGCAACCGTTGGCGTGCAGAACCTGGAAGCTCTTCAGTTCATTGTCTCGGTCTACGATCAGCTCGGTCTTGTTGCCGTACACCCTTACCAGCACCACATCCTCGAGGCAGTCCTCCACATAACACCCCACCAGTTTGTTAGTTGTGCCATCGGTGAAAAGCTAAAGGTACAAAGCAAACATAAGGAAGGATTGCAATCACAGCTATTTTTGGTTGCAAGATATTTAAACTTTACAGTTGACTTGAAACGGCATTCAAAACCAGTTTTACTTCTGTAATTTGAAGTATATCATGCAACAAGAACTGAATGTTGAAACTGTTTTATGTTTACTTAAAGGGTTTGTTCAGCCACAAATTAAAATGTACTCGCCTTCAGGCCATCCAAGATGTAGATGAGTTTGTTTGTTCATCAGAAAAAATCTTTGGAGAAATTTAGCATTACTTCACTTGCTCACCAAAGGATCCTCTGCAGTGAATGTGTGCCGTCAGTCCAAACGGCTGATAAAAACATCGCAACAGTCCACAAGTAATCCACACCACTCCAGTCCATCAATTAAAGTCTTGTGCAAAAGCTGCATGTTTGTAAGAAACAAATCCATCAAGATGTTTTTAATTTCAAACTGTAGCTTCCAGCTAAAATACGAATCCTCTATCCATATTATTGCTTTCTCGAAATAAAAAGTTGTCTTGTCTGAATCAGGAGAGAAATAAGTGAAAACAGTTTGCATGTTGGTGGATTTTGAAGTACGTGGACAACAGGGATGGACTTTTTTACTAAAGGAAGCGTTATTGTGGACTATGGACTTGTATGTTGGTCAGAACAATGGTTTAAAGTTAAAATGTCTTGATGGATTTGTTTCTTAAAACAAGCAGCTTTTTACCTCACAAGGTGTTAAATGATGGACTGGAGTCGTGTGGATTAATTTGATGTTTTTATCAGCTGTTTGAATGATAAAGAAACAACCTCATCAACATCTTTGTTGGCCTGAGGGCTATAATTTTTTTTTTGGGTGAACTATTCCTTTAAAGACACAAAAAAGCTATGTCAATCACAATGGAGCATATGATAAACTGGCAAGACTTAAAATGCTTTGTACTTGTAATATTATATCCCACAATTCACTGCAGCGGCCTTGCCACCCACCGATGCATTTCTGAGATTCCTGAAATGACCAATGTACAAACAGCACGAGTGGTCAACATACAGTACAGAGGATGAATTCAACTCTGAGCAGGTGCCGTTTTGACTGTTCGACAGATTTGTCAACAGGTTGCACACTTCTATCTTGTAATGCGTTTCAATAGCAAATGGGTTTAAGATATATTGCTGACAGCAAATATGATTAAATATCATAACTATATGAACAATGCAGGATAGTTGAACTGACTGAATGGTCAGTGTTTACAGTTGAGCCTAGGTCAGGTGGTTATCATCAACAACCACAACACAACGTCTAACTCTTTCGGCTATGTCACACGACCATGCGATAAACTATGCTGGCTATCTGTAAACAGTGGCGTGCTACCCACATGGAGGTCGAACGGGATTAGGTTCATTCATCCTGGCTTCAAAGCAGCGCAAACACAACTCATGTTTGTCCAACAGTATGGGGGTGAATCTCTAAAAAAACATGTTCGAGTCATAGGTCATCCCAAAATCTTCAGAATAAAATATCAAAATGAAGTCTATTTTTAGGACCAGGACCAAGGATGGGCCAGTGGAAAATATTTGGGCCATGTGTTTTTGTCTCATGCAAATTTAGATAAATTGAATATCTCTGTTGTGTATTCTGCAGATTTGAATGTTCCCAAGGTTACATTATCTCGCTGGCTGACTTAGTTGAGGTTTTGTTGAATTCACAACAAGGACTTCTGAAAGGAATGGGCTGAACATTATAAATTAATCAGAAGGTTTGCCATAATTTTCCTGAAAAAGTGTTGTGTGGATCTATAGCTGATGTGTACATAATTGCATACATCATTTTTTTTTTTTTGAACAAATCATGTTAAAATGCTAAAAAAAAAAAAACATCAACTTTTTGGTTATATGAATATCTGCAACTGTTTGGGCCCCTAAAACAAGGGGTCTTTTTTCCTCCTTGTGTATGAGTTCCATATTCTCAATATATCACACCATAAAAGCCTGATGTATCAAATATGACGCTCAACACATATTCAAACTCCTTTTTTTTTTTTTTTTACATTTTTACACAAGGTTTCAATGAACTGTTCCATTTCAAAATATTTTATTTTTCTGACTTTAATTTCATATTGCATGCTTTACAGCAGTGGCCAGCAACCTTTTTAGGCCCAAGATCCCTGACCTCTGCCTTTATGAAAGACAAGATCTACCTATTGAAGAATCGATTGAAAAAGACATCCCAGATTGTACTTCAAATTTGAGGCCTTTTACCACTGCATTTTAATCATGATCTGCACGGGCAGTTGTTTTTTTCAGGATTTAAAACAAAAACAGAAGGGTCTGACTTTAGGTGTTTTTTATTTATTTTCTACATAAAACATATGCACGAAACAAAAACGGGAGGTCTGAATGAGACGCACTCTCTGACAGCAGGTGGCGCCTATGAACAGGGTTGCCAGGTTTTCGCAATGAAACTAGTCCAATCACGTTTGGAGGAGGGTTCCCCAGTAAAAATCGCATTCTGGGGGTAAAATACACGTTTTTCGGTGGGGATCTTCCAGTAAAATTCACATTCCAGGGACCAAATATCACGTTATTGGGGTCGCTTCAACCCGCGGCAATACATTAATAATTTGAAGTATATCATGCAACAAGAACTGAATGTTGAAACTGGTTTATGTTTACTTAAAGGGTTTGTTCAGCCACAAATTAAAAATGTACTCGCCTTCAGGCCATCCAAGATGTAGATGAGTTTGTTTGTTCATCAGAAAAAATCTTTGGAGAAATTTAGCATTACTTCACTTGCTCACCAAAGGATCCTCTGCAGTGAATGTGTGCCGTCAGTCCAAACGGCTGATAAAAACATCGCAACAGTCCACAAGTAATCCACACCACTCCAGTCCATCAATTAAAGTCTTGTGCAAAAGCTGCATGTTTGTAAGAAACAAATCCATCAAGATGTTTTTAATTTCAAACTGTAGCTTCCAGCTAAAATACGAATCCTCTATCCATATTATTGCTTTCTCGAAATAAAAAGTTGTCTTGTCTGAATCAGGAGAGAAATAAGTGAAAACAGTTTGCATGTTGGTGGATTTTGAAGTACGTGGACAACAGGGATGGACTTTTTTACTAAAGGAAGCGTTATTGTGGACTATGGACTTGTATGTTGGTCAGAACAATGGTTTAAAGTTAAAATGTCTTGATGGATTTGTTTCTTAAAACAAGCAGCTTTTTACCTCACAAGGTGTTAAATGATGGACTGGAGTCGTGTGGATTAATTTGATGTTTTTATCAGCTGTTTGAATGATAAAGAAACAACCTCATCAACATCTTTGTTGGCCTGAGGGCTATAATTTTTTTTTTGGGTGAACTATTCCTTTAAAGACACAAAAAAGCTATGTCAATCACAATGGAGCATATGATAAACTGGCAAGACTTAAAATGCTTTGTACTTGTAATATTATATCCCACAATTCACTGCAGCGGCCTTGCCACCCACCGATGCATTTCTGAGATTCCTGAAATGACCAATGTACAAACAGCACGAGTGGTCAACATACAGTACAGAGGATGAATTCAACTCTGAGCAGGTGCCGTTTTGACTGTTCGACAGATTTGTCAACAGGTTGCACACTTCTATCTTGTAATGCGTTTCAATAGCAAATGGGTTTAAGATATATTGCTGACAGCAAATATGATTAAATATCATAACTATATGAACAATGCAGGATAGTTGAACTGACTGAATGGTCAGTGTTTACAGTTGAGCCTAGGTCAGGTGGTTATCATCAACAACCACAACACAACGTCTAACTCTTTCGGCTATGTCACACGACCATGCGATAAACTATGCTGGCTATCTGTAAACAGTGGCGTGCTACCCACATGGAGGTCGAACGGGATTAGGTTCATTCATCCTGGCTTCAAAGCAGCGCAAACACAACTCATGTTTGTCCAACAGTATGGGGGTGAATCTCTAAAAAAACATGTTCGAGTCATAGGTCATCCCAAAATCTTCAGAATAAAATATCAAAATGAAGTCTATTTTTAGGACCAGGACCAAGGATGGGCCAGTGGAAAATATTTGGGCCATGTGTTTTTGTCTCATGCAAATTTAGATAAATTGAATATCTCTGTTGTGTATTCTGCAGATTTGAATGTTCCCAAGGTTACATTATCTCGCTGGCTGACTTAGTTGAGGTTTTGTTGAATTCACAACAAGGACTTCTGAAAGGAATGGGCTGAACATTATAAATTAATCAGAAGGTTTGCCATAATTTTCCTGAAAAAGTGTTGTGTGGATCTATAGCTGATGTGTACATAATTGCATACATCATTTTTTTTTTTTTGAACAAATCATGTTAAAATGCTAAAAAAAAAAAAACATCAACTTTTTGGTTATATGAATATCTGCAACTGTTTGGGCCCCTAAAACAAGGGGTCTTTTTTCCTCCTTGTGTATGAGTTCCATATTCTCAATATATCACACCATAAAAGCCTGATGTATCAAATATGACGCTCAACACATATTCAAACTCCTTTTTTTTTTTTTTTTACATTTTTACACAAGGTTTCAATGAACTGTTCCATTTCAAAATATTTTATTTTTCTGACTTTAATTTCATATTGCATGCTTTACAGCAGTGGCCAGCAACCTTTTTAGGCCCAAGATCCCTGACCTCTGCCTTTATGAAAGACAAGATCTACCTATTGAAGAATCGATTGAAAAAGACATCCCAGATTGTACTTCAAATTTGAGGCCTTTTACCACTGCATTTTAATCATGATCTGCACGGGCAGTTGTTTTTGATTTGATTTAGATTAATTTCAGGATTTAAAACAAAAACAGAAGGGTCTGACTTTAGGTGTTTTTTATTTATTTTCTACATAAAACATATGCACGAAACAAAAACGGGAGGTCTGAATGAGACGCACTCTCTGACAGCAGGTGGCGCCTATGAACAGGGTTGCCAGGTTTTCGCAATGAAACTAGTCCAATCACGTTTGGAGGAGGGTTCCCCAGTAAAAATCGCATTCTGGGGGTAAAATACACGTTTTTCGGTGGGGATCTTCCAGTAAAATTCACATTCCAGGGACCAAATATCACGTTATTGGGGTCGCTTCAACCCGCGGCAATACATTAATATAACCCCATAAATGTAATGCATTTTTGTACTTATTTTATTTTATTTTTCGGGATCTACTGGGACAGTGATAAAGATCTACCAATCGCGATCGACGGGTTGGTGACCACTGCTTTACAGGGTCAATATAGCGGTATCATTTCTGGCATATTAAATCTATTAATGCTAGTAAACGTATTACATTTATTTATTGGCAAAACATACAAATTTCAGGAAAAAAATTATTTAAAAAAAATTGTGATAAGTATAAAATACAACCACCCTGGGTTTTTTTGTATTACATTGAGAATTAGAGAGAAAAATGTGCTTAATATCACAAAAAAAGGCTTAATTTCTTTAAGCACAAGATATGAATTATTATGTAATTTCTTGCTTTTACGATGAAATATGGCTGGGGCACGTCATCATGAGATTCATTAGTGACGTGGACTGGGACACGCTGCCTCTGCGTAAAGACACACAAACAATAATAACACTGTTCATTAGTAACCTTCACTTCCCATCACATAATGATAGCACTCAAACAGATACGACAGATAAGGCTGATAATTGGTGCAATAATGCATGTTTATAGTTGTGTTAAGTGTGTAGCCTATGTGGCGTTGGGTGGAGACCAAAGGCCAGACAGTCAGTGTGACTCAGGTTATTTAAACAACTGCATTAGGACAAATTACCTCATGGGAGGCTTGCTTTATTACTATTACTATTCAAATATCTGTTATTAACTGTGTGAAGATTGTGATCCTCCTAAACGAAAATAAACATTTTCCAATGAAGTCGTGAGACATTGATCTGATTACGCAAATGCAACAGGCTGATCACTTTTGAATCAAATGTGGTTTTGGGTCGAGTCAATCTAATCAGATCAAGTAGTTTCAAACCAGAACGCCAGGTGGGAGCTGCTCTATCTGAGAGATAACCTCTTATTCAGAGGTGATAAGCAACAGCTGACCTGCGTCAAGAACAAAAGAAGCAAAATATGTAACTGGTGCACCAGCGTAGTCCAGATTGACCATTATGTAAAACGTGTGTGTGTGTGTACAGACAGAACCTTCAACAACATGACCTGCAACAAAATGCATTGACACTACCTGTGAGCAAAAAGACCGTGGGGTTTATTTAAATCAGATTTATGTATTGTATTCTATGCAAATGCAGCACAAGTACATTTTCATTATGGCAATACACCTTACCAAGCAAACTCATTTCACTGTACTTAAAGATTTATTGAGGTGTTAGCATGTAGTTGAACTGGGATATGCAAACATGAACTATGTTGACACAATAATGAAAGTACAGATGAACATCTTTTTAAACACCCTATTATTTTTTAATTATTTATAAAATGTATTTATTATTAAAGGGTTAGTTCACCCCCAAAATGAAAATTCTGTCATTAATTACTCACCCTCATGTCG